CTCCAGTCGTGCGAGCTATCCCACCACATCTCTGTGATTCCAATGAGATCATGTCACTGGGACCACACACAGATCTCCAGTTTGTCCTGCTTATTCCCCATGCTTCACGCATTGGTGTACAGGCATTTCGGGGAAAGTAACCGAGCCCACAGGTTTCCCAGGAGGGGTGAAAGAGGACCCTCTGTGATCATTTCCTATCCTCACTACCCCACTAGCATACTCCTGCTGGAAGCCATCTGACCAAGGCTGTGTGGTACTGTTCGCCATGTCTGTGTGACACTCCCCTTCCCCCTTCTCACGAAGGGGGGCCTCCCAGCAGCTCCCCTCCCAGCAGCTGCTGGGGCCATGCCAGTGCCCACCATGCTCTGCATCGTTCTCGCCACCCTTCTCTTGCTCGCCCTGGGTGCCGTCACTGTGCAGGCCTGGTGTGCAATTGCTCTGTGCAGAGGTTTGTTGCACTGGGGTACTCTTGGGCAGAAGCTTTATGGGGTGGCCTGACTGTCCAGGCTGGGACCTGGTAAGATGGTGGAGGCTAGGAGGCCTGGTGGGGGTGACGGCAGTGCCGGGGGTAGCAGATGGTTCAGGCAAGGATATTGAGGCACTCAGAAGATGGGGCAAAGCTGTGGGGCTGGGCCTCAGAGGTAGCGGGATGATTGCAGGTGATCGCTAATATCCACTGTGCTGTATCTGTGGCCTTGCTTATGGCTGCCTTCCTTTCCAGGCTCTGGCACAGATGCGGATGCAACCTATGAGGCCGTCTATGAGGAGCTTGACTACACTGTGACACCAGAGTACCAGGAGATGCCGAGCAGCTCAGACTGGTTTGCCACAGACCTGGGAGGACATGGCTCCCAATAGCCCTTCCCTGTCTCTCCCAGCCCATGCCCGGCAACTTTCCCTGCTGAGGGAGGTCTCTGGGCTGAGTCCCCACACACCTACTGCAGCACCCAACATCAGAGCCTGGCCACGTACTGGCCATTAGGAGCGGCCGTGTGAGGGCGTCTCCAGGCTCTCCACGGTCCCCGCTCTGCTGTGAGGCCATCGTGCCCAGGGTGCAGACCAGGCCATGGGGCCAGCCAGCCTCGCTTAACATTCCCTGCTCCAGGCTCCCCATCTGAAGGCTCAGCCACTAAACTGCCATATTACAACAGCTATAGTGTGGAAGCTGGCAGCGCTGGGGCAGCACCAGGTATGTGGCAACCTCCAGCTCTGCAGCCTGTGGGTGGGAACAATGCAACTCTGAGCTGAGCCCAGGTTGAGTCTCCTGTTTGTCACAGACACCCCTGCCATGGCCAGTCATGACCCCCTGGACAGATATGATGATGCTGAAGTTGTGCTGGATCCGGGAGAGGCTGCTGATCCAGGGCTGAGCGACAGAGTTGTCTGCAAGACAGCCAGGCTAGGAGGTAAGAGATGCCACAACCTGCACAGCAGCTGATCCGAGTGTTGTGCCGGCTTCCAGGGAAAAGGCAGCTCCTCCATACACACCCATGGTAGTGGGCAGCAGCTGGGCACAGGAGGGCCTTGGTCCAGGCCTGGCATTTGGGGCATGAAGTGGCCTCTCTAAGTCACCGGGTTTGCTCTTTACAAAAGGAAGACAACCCTCCCTGATCCCCACAGAGCCACCAGGAGATGCAGCTGAGGCCCTGTCCTCAACACACAGGGATGCAGGCTATGATGACGTTGGTGTCAGCAGCTCCAGCCCGTCTCTCCATGGGAGTCTCTGAGGACATGTGAGCATGGCGTGAAGGGGTGCTGCCTCTGCGAAGCCATGGCCTGGCTACGCATGACCTTGTTCACCTGAGTGACCAGCCACTGGGGCCTGCTTGGGACTGTGAACCCTTGGGGAAATGCCTCCATTGTTACTCCCACACACACTTCTAGCTGCTGGCTGAGCTTTTATATCTTTCTGCTGTGCATTTCTCTTTTTTTCTATTACTAAAAAGGCATATGTAGAGTCTTATTACCCGAGTAAAGACTTCATTTGCCATATCGTGGAGGTGACTGGGATAGAAAAGTAGCATATCCTGCTCAGCGTGATCCTTCTTGCATGAAATCCATCCCTTTAGTTTGCCTTCCTGCCACAACACGAGGGCCCCATCCATGACAGCGAGAAACACATGTTGTGTCCAGCGTTGGAATTATCACTGAGCACCACTGAAAAGATTTTGGACCCATCTTCTTCACTCCCTCCCTTCTGATATTTATACCCACTAATGGAAAGGACAACATCAGGCTTCTCCATGCTGAACAGGCCCAGCTCTCTTTGTCTTTCCTTGTACAACAAATACTCCCATTCCTTCAGCATCTTAGGAGCCCTGCACTGGACTCACTGCAATAGCTCCAGATTTCTCTTGTAGTGGGGAACCCAGAATTGTGCACAGCTCTTCACAGTTTCATGATGTTGGAATCTACGATCCAATGTTGGAATTCATGATCCTGTGAGGAGGAAGCTGGATAAGAAGTAGGATTGCAACCCTGGACCTCAAGAAAGCTGACTTTGGAGGAATCCTCTGGGCAGGAGTCCTAGAAGGAAGGAGGGTCCAGGAGAGTTGGCTTATATTCAGACACCACTTTCTCCAAGCTCAGGATCGGTGCATTCATATAAGAAAGACTTTGAGCAAGGAGGGGCAGGAGACCTGCGTGGATGGACAAGGAGCTGTTGGGTAAGCTTAATGAGAGAAAGAGCATGTACATAATGTGGAAGAAGGGCGATGCCACATGGGAAGAATATAGGAACATTATCGGAGAATGCAGGGATGAAACGAGGAAGGCCAAGACCCATTTGGAATTAGTTAGCGAGGGATGTCAGGGGCAACAGGAAGGGCTTCTACAAATACATCAGCAGCAAGAGGAAGACTAGGGAAAATGTTAGTCCTCTGGTGAATGAGGAGGGTGCCTTGATGATGGAGGATGCAGAGAAGCAGAGATACTAAATGCTTTCATTGCTTCTGTCTTTACTGCTAAGACTAGTCCCCATGAACTATGGAGCCTGGAGACAAGAGAGAGAGCCAAGAAAGAGAACTTTCCTCTGGTCGAGGAGGATTGAGTTAGGGATTACTTAGGCAAATTGGACACCCATAAATCTATGGGCCCAGATGGGATGCACCCAAGAGTGCTAAGGGAACTGGCAGGGGTTATTGCTCAGCTGCTCTCCATCATCTTCAAGGGGTCATGGAGGGCCAGGCAGCCTCCCTTAACATCCCATGCTCCAGGCTCCCCATCTGAAGGCTCAGCCACAAAGCTGACTTATTACACCAGCAACAGTGTGGAAGCCGGTAGCATCTGGACCGCACCAGATATGTGGCAACCTCTGTTCTGCAGCCTGTGGGTGGGAACAACGCAACTCTGGCCCCACCCAGTATTCACTCTCCTGTCTTTCAGAGACACCCGTGTCCTGACAAGGCCCAACTCCCTGGCCAGATATGAGGATCTTGAATCTGTGATGGACCTGGGAGACGCTGCTGCTCCAGGGCTGAGCGACAGAGTTGTTGCGAGACAGCAGCGCTAGGAGGTACGAGGTGCCACAACCTGCACAGCAGCTGATCCGAGTGTTGTGCCAGTCCTCCGGTAGAGACTACTTCTCCATACACAGACATGGCAGTGGGCAGCAGCTGGGCAAAGAAGGGCCTTGGTCTGGGCCTGGTAGCCACGGCATGAAATGGCCTCTCTAAGTCACCAGGTGTGCTCTGTCCAGAAGGAAGACAACCCTCCCTGAACCCCACAGAGTCAACAGGAGATGCAGCAGATGCCCTGTCCTCAACACTCAGGGATGCAGGCTATGATGAAGTTGGGGTGAGCAGCCCCTGACGGCACTGTGAGTGCTGTGGGACTGTACCATGGGAGTCTCTGAGGACACGTAAGCACTATGACCAGGGGTGCTGCCTCTGCGAAGCCATGGCCTGGCCACACATGGCCTTGTTCACCTGAGACACCAGCCACTGGGGCCTGCTTGGGACTGTGAACCCTTTGGGAGCTGCCTCCATTGTTACTCCCACACAAGCTTCTGGCAGCTGCCTTAGCCTTTATGTCCTTCCACTGTGCATTTCTCTTTTTCCTGTTAATAATAAAAAAAAAAAGCGTGGGGTCTTATTACCAGAGTGAAGACTTCATTCACTCTGTCATGTCATGGGAGTGGCTGGGGTAGACAAGTAGCATACCTTGCTAAGTGTGATCCTTTTCGCAGGAAATCTGTCCCATTTGGCTACCCTTGCACGGGGCCAGTCTGTTACAATGGCTGCTGTGGCCATTTCACCTGCATTGCCCTAAGCCGGGACACCTCTCCTCATGGTGACCCAGGTACTATGCCCTGCTCCCACGCAGTGCTTGCCAGGTCACCATCACTGGCACTGCACACTGCCCACAGACAGTGCACTGCATAGTGAGCAGAGCTCTGCAGAAAGAGTCCAGCAAGGGTGGCACTGCCCAGTGTGGCAGTGTGGCAGTGTGCAGCTACCAGGCTTCCTCTCCTCGCTCTGTGTTTTCTTTGCTCCAAAGAAGGCCTGCAGGCCAACTGCCAAGAGAAGACTGTAATGTTATAGGTGGAGGTACCTTAAAGGGAGGCTTTAGCCTGCCTTCCTGCCACAACATGACAGTGCCATCCACGAGGGCAAGAAACACACGTTGTGTCCAGCATGGGGGGCATCACTGAGTACCACTGAAAAGATTATGCACGCGTCCTCTTCACTCCCTCCCTTTTAACATTTATACCCACTAAGAGAAAGGAAAACCTCAGGCTTCTCCATGCTGAATAGGACCAGCTCCCTCCACCTTTCTTTGTATAACACATGCTCCCATCCCTTCAGCATTCTAGAAGTCTTCTGCCAAATTCACTCCAACAGTTCCACGTCTGTCTTGGGCTGGGAAGCCAAGAACTGTGCACAGCTCTGCACATAGAGTGGAGTTAACCTGCGGCATGACCCCAGTCCTCACAAAAGTGGCAGGCTTCACGGAACCATCACCAGTCTCCTGTGCCCCTCAGTTTGTCCCTAGAGCTCCTGGGTGGCTCTGGATCTGCTCCAGCTCGTTGTGGCAAGGTCCCTGCAAAGAGATACCGATGCACCAAAGCCTCCCATTATCGTAGTGTGAAATACAGTTGGATGATCAGATAGAGAGGCAGGAGGTGAGATATACACTGTTCAGCTTATTTTAGAGGGGGCCTTCTGGGCTGTGCATGTCACGCTTGCAGGAAACTGGGCACCACCTCCATCCACCTGCAAGCCTCTGCAAGGGATCAGGACGTTCCTGAAAATGCCCTATAGAGCCCTCAAATGGGCCTCACTTGGTGCCACCCTGGAGGTTTCTATTCCACTGGCAGCCCATGTGTCTCCTGTGCTCATGTGGAGGGCTGCTGAGGACAATGGGGCCAAAATCAGCCCCAGAGCATGAAGGAAGCTGCAGCAGATGCTGCCCCAGGCAGAGGATGGTCCCTATCAGGGACCTGTGCCGGGCTCCCTAGCACCACATGCTAGATCCCTCCCAATGCAGGCTCAGGCATAGGAAGGTCCCCTCCTCCCCCTGCACCCGCTGCAGGTTCCCAGGTGAGGAGCCATGCTCTGCTCACCAAACTGCTCTTGCTATAGCCATGCAGATGCCCACCCAGTGGAGGGGCGGACACAATGCGAGAAGCGGCTCCGAGCTGCATATATGGGCAAGCACGTGGATAGAGAAGTTTATTGGAGGTTGGGGCTTCGTCAGATGGGAGATAACCCTCCTGATAAGGTCTCAAAAGGTGTTTGCTGCACTGATAGGCTCCCCTGGCAGTGCAGCTTGCATCTCGGCCTATATACTGCCCTCCCCACTCCGGGCGCAGGACTGGTGCGGGAGCTGGGGACCATCTCATAGGGCAGGAGAAAAACAGGATGGTCACCGATAGCCTGCTCCTTGTCAGGGCACTGGAACTGCTGCTGTGCGTGCAGCTCTGCTGCGGTGAGTGCCTGTGGGCTCCTTGGGGCTGGAGTTGCTCATCCTTATGCCAAGAATGGGAGGCAGTGATGAGTGTCTGGGCGACCGTGGGACTGTGCTTTTGATCATAGGGCCAAGTGCCCAGCACAGGTGGCAGGTGTGTTCCTGGTCCATGGCCCCATTGCCACTGGTGATGGGCATCTGGTGGCTGGAAGTGGCCCTGCCTTTGCACCTTGTGTCCTGCTGTTCCCCGCGAATTTTCCACCCGTGCAAGCATAGGTCAAAGGCAAGGGCCATGTCCATAGCAGCGAGTGGAAGCCTTGAGGGTGGGGGGCAGCCTTCAGAAACAGTCTCCCAGCCAGCCTGGCAAGGCAGGCTGCAAGCATAGGTCAAAGGCAAGGGCCATGTCCATAGCAGCGAGTGGAAGCCTTGAGGGTGGGGGGCAGCCTTCAGAAACAGTCTCCCAGCCAGCCTGTCAAGGCAGGCTGCACCCTTTACCCACGACACACCATGCTGGGGCTCTGTGTCTCCTTTACACTCCTGTGTGGGCACCCACAGGCACCAGGGAGCTGCGCCTGGTTGACGGAGGTGGTCACTGCGCAGGACGGGTGGAGGTGATGCATGAGGGCCAGTGGGGCAGCGTGTGCAGTTACGACTTCCACTGGGATGTCCGTGAGGGCTCCGTGGTCTGTAGACAGCTGGGATGTGGCACTGTGGCCAGAACCTCCACATACACCCCCTTTGGGGCTGGAACTGGACAGATCTGGCTACATCCCTTCTTCTGCCGTGGCACTGAGACAGCGCTCCACCTGTGCTCTCACCTCGGCTGGGGTGAGCACTCCTGTGGTCATGATACGGATGTTGGAGTGACATGCTCAGGTAAGGGATTATGTTACTATGCTGCGGTACAGCTACTTGACTATGGGGGGTTGAGAGCCAATGCAACGAGGCCCAGGGCCTCTCCACCACCTCTTCCTCTCCAGGCTGAGATGGGGTGCAGGAGAGGGGTCAACATACAGCACACTCTTGTCCTGTCAACACTTCTGATGCAGGTGCTGTGGAGCTGCGCCTTGTGAATGGAGCTAGTTCCTGTGAGGGCAGAGTGGAGGTGAAGCTGCGAGGCCAGTGGGGCACGGTGGGCAATGACCTATGGGACATGGAGGATGCCGAAGTGGTGTGTCAACAGCTGGGCTGTGGCTCTGCCAAAAGTGCTCACATCTCCACACCGTTTGGGAGAGGGTCTGGACCCATTAGCCTAGTTCGGATTGACTGTCGTGGTGATGAGTCTGCCCTGTGGGAATGCACTGTCTTGGGATGGGGTCCATACAAAGCCCTCCATGACTGGGATGTTGGCGTAATCTGCCAAGGTAAGAGCCCTGGGGTTACAACAGGCTGCCTCGCTCCTGAGGTGGTTGTTCCAGTACCGAGAAATCAAGGTGAAGTCCGTGCAACCAGTGCCCATCAAGCTCCTGAGAAACCCCATGACACTCTGTTCTGTCTCCTGGCAGGATTTGTGCGGCTGGTTGGTGGGGATGACACCTGCTCGGGACGTGTGGAGGTCAGGAAGGGCCAAGAATGGGCCACCCTCTGTGAGGCCCACATGGACCTCAACACTGCCAATGTCATCTGCAAGGAGCTGGGCTGTGGTGCAGCTCTGGCATACAAAGCCCTCCATGACTGGGATGTTGGCGTAATCTGCCAAGGTAAGAGCCCTGGGGTTACAACAGGCTGCCTCGCTCCTGAGGTGGTTGTGCCAGTACCGAGAAATCAAGGTGAAGTCCGTGCAACCAGTGCCCATCAAGCTCCTGAGAAACCCCATGACACTCTGTTCTGTCTCCTGGCAGGATTTGTGCGGCTGGTTGGTGGGGATGACACCTGCTTGGGACGTGTGGAGGTCAGGAAGGGCCAAGAATGGGCCACCCTCTGTGAGGCCCACATGGACCTCAATGCTGCCAATGTCATCTGCAAGGAGCTGGCCTGTAGTGCAGCTCTGGCAGTCACCAGCGCGGCACATTTTGGGTCTGGAGCTGGGCCCATCTGGGACGGGGGCTTTGAGTGTGCAGGCAACGAATCCCTCCTGTCTGCCTGCGTCCGCAGGCTGCCCCCTGCCCAGGGATGCACCCATGCCAACGACACCGGCATCATCTGTTCCCGTAAGAGCATGGGGTGAGGGGCAGAGTGTGCTGAGAGGAGGGCAGGGAGGCCGGAAGAGGGGACAAGGCTGCCCCAGGCAGGCATGGGGCACACACACGCACTGAGGCCTGACTTGTGACAGCCGCCAGTGTATGGAGAGTCAGGAGGGTGTGAGGAAGCAGAGGAGGCAATTCCTGCATGTCCTATCATTCTAGGGGGGTTAGACACAGGGCTATCACCTCCCATTGCCTTTCTCCCTTCCAGCCTACACGGCCTTCAGGCTGGTGAATGGCAGCACGGCCTGTGCAGGGCGGGTCGAGGTGGGGGTGCGGGGTACGTGGCGCTCCCTCTGTGACACTGGCTGGGACGAGCGTGATGCCCAGGGGCTCTGCCCCCCGCTTGGCTGCGACCAGCTTGGCTGCGGATTTGTCACCTCCGTGCCCCACGGAGGCTATTTTGGGGCAGGGAGTGGCCCACTCTGGCGGGACACATTTCACTGCAGCGGAATCGAGTCCCACCTGGGAGCGTGCCCTGCCACAGCGCTGAGGATCCCCGTGTGTTCCCTGGGCAACACCGCTGCAGTCAATTGCTCAGGTGAGTGCAGGGTAGACAGCATCAACTACAATGCCCTGCTTCTGGGAGGGGAGCCGGCCGCAAAAGAGGTGGGGGGCTTGTCCTCTCCCCTGGCTGCCCCCAGGAGCTGTGGGGCACAGGGACCACCTGGAGAAGCAGGTGGTCCTGCAGGACCAGCCAGGACAGGAGGATGGCTCAGAGGAGTCAGGGCTGCCGGAACACAGCCAGGAAAAGGGAAGTGGTTTCATGCTGTCCTCATCTATACTGTGTGGTTTTCTGCTAGCCATGGTACTCCAATAAGCCCTATTGCTACTGGACTGCACAGAGGGATATGGCAGGAATTTTTTGCTCTCCTCTGGTACCTTGGCCATGAATAGAAACTTGCACAGTATCTTGGCCATGGGTGCAAACAAGGGGTTGGTGGACACAGAGCCACTGGGGGCCTAGAGGCAAGTGCACATTGCGATAGACCCTACCTCATCTCAGGGCATCTCTTCTGCATGCAGGGCCAAGTAGTGCTGAAGCCCTGTGTCTGGTGGGCGGGGAAAGCCGCTGCGACGGGCGCCTGGAGGTGGCCCTGCACGGAGCCTGGGGCCGAGTCCTGGCAGAGCACTGGGACACCAGCAGTGCCAGCGTGGTGTGTCGGCAGCTCCGCTGTGGCGAGGCACAAAAG